CAGTTTTGGCAACATTGTTGTCTTTTTTTTTTTTTTGAAGAAGCATTATGATGAGCATATGTATCAAGGTAAGACCTGGCTTTGATGATTGTGGGTCGATGATTCACAAGACTCCGGCTGCCTCGAAAAAAAAAAGTGCGGTTGTCATAAAATTGCCTCATCATTTATAAGGGTATAGCGCACCACGACAAGGACACAAAAAGAGAGACCCGCACATACACAGCGGTAACTTGCAACTATTGTTTTATTTGTGATTACCCATACATGAACTAAGGTAGGCAGTTGCTGCCTTGAAGAAAAGACCCCTAGTCGAAACACTGTTTCTAGCGATTTCTCATCTCTAAGGCTGAAAACAGAGTTCCACCATGAGGAACAGAACTACATTTGGAGTTATATCCGTGTCGTATGGGCATTCGCATTGCCATCCAACCGATGGTCTATTGACTCAAGTTTGGTGAAAAAAAGAGTTTCACCTCGAAGCCAACTACTCCATTCATCCACGTCACGACCCCATGACAACATGAGTGTTGTGTCGTGAATCATACAGTAAGCATCTTTGCCACTTGAAATGAGTGAACTGCATATATTCTCGACAACAGCCACGTGCTTCTCTTCATCATGCTGTCGCTGTAGTATGCCCCGCCGCGGTAGTATAGTGGTTAAGGTACTCTGCTGCTAACCCGCAGGTTGCGGGATCGAATCCCGGCTGCGGCGGCTGCATTTCCGATGGACGCGGAAATGCTGTAGACCCAGGTGCTCAGATTTGATTGCACGTTAAAGAACCCCATGTAATCGAAATTTCCGGAGCCCTCCACTACGGCGCCTCTCATAATCATGTGGTTTTGGATAGTTAAACCCCACATATCAATCAATCCCTGTAGTATGCATTGCTTGCCACAGTTTCTCTTCTCAACAACTGAGGAGCAAAATATGTATTCATAAAGGCAAATAAACAATTTATTAAAGCATTTACACAACATCAACCGACATGCTTGAGTTTTTAAGTGAACCTATACTTAACTTTAGTTGACATATGAATACGAAAATCAAGATCCGCAGTGGCGCAAAACGTTTGCGTCTGAACCACTCAACCCCCCCTCAAAACTGCTGTGTACTAACCAGACAACTCTATTGAGTCAGAGTTGTGGTGCTCAGGTGGCCATCGACTGGATGGTCTACCAAAAGGGTACGTGTGACTCGGGTATTATGTGACCAGCATGAGCATGCACGACAGCTTTCTTTGTGCATGAGCCCACATGACAGCTTTCATGACAAAAAGCATTTCAACATTATGTGGTTGAGACATCTAGGCACACTAGTAACAGCAGTAGCTTTATTTTAACCAAGCGGCATGCTCTAAACATTCACGGAACAGACTTTACTGCCCTATGTACAGGGTGGTGCTAGACATGGTTGTTTTGTTTATGCTATGGTTATCAAGCGCAGATCACACTGATTATTTTTGCACACCTTTCTTGCTCAACCAACTTGCACAATGGCTGCATTAGTTCTCTATATCACTGCATATCAGAAGCCTGTCACAGCTTCCCGTGACCATCTATCTTGCCTGCACAGCCTAGACATGTCTGGGCTGCCCTCGTGTACTTTTCAAATGTTCAGGCAATGGTTGCTAGCAAAAACAATGATGTGGTAGCTTTTGGATGCCATTATGCCAATTTTAGAACTTTGAAGAAGAGGAAATTTCTCAATTTCTTGTAATTCAAGATCTAACCAAATAATTTTAACATGGTCATCACTTCGTTAAATCGAGTTTCAAGAGTATGCTGTGATTGATGACCAACCTTCAGAGTCTGTACAAGAGTGTGCATAGACCAATTCACCAAGGAGGCTGCCATTTTTCTGCTACAGCGCCGTCTAGAATCTGCCATATTTCGCTGCCTTGCTTGTGTGTGGCAATCTGCGGCGGTGTATGCAGCATATGCGCTCGGTACAAAGGGTAGTGCTGCTGTTCGCAGTACAGGGTCAAAACACAACAACACCTTGCGAGTGTATAGGCGCCAGTAAGTAATCGCTAAGCTGTCAGCTTCGAAATGGCTGAAACAGAAAGCAGCAGCAACCCACAAGACATTCCCGCAGCAGTGCCGACGATGGACAGGAGGCGAGTAGAGTATCAATGAATTGCTTAACCGGCACGTGTAAGTAGATAATTGGTTAGCCTGTTTTGTTATATGTAGCTGGCCTTATGGGATTATGCACAAGCGTTAAATTTTCAGACAACTCTCGAAGTAATCGGTGAAACACGGAGACAAGCGAATACATATGCCCTTGTCCAGCTGCACATGTGAGCACTAAGTGTTTAAAATGACTCTGGTTTCTTTGTCCTAATTGCTTGAGTTCAACATAACTATAATCACTAGCAGATCATCTGGTCTCACTGAGGATGCCGCAGAACAAGGCTTATGGAACGGAGAAAGCACAAAATACCGATGCCTGCGTTGATTTTGTGTCGTCACCGTAGTTGAAAGCTTGTGTCTGATCATTGCGCAGGATAACAAACAGATGTACAACAGATCCATGAGCTTGAACTTCTGCGTAGGAGCAACACAAAGAAGAGCGAAAATGAACTTCCTCCACATTATGAAGCACGATATGATGTAAGTTCACTTCGGCGCGACCAATCACCATTGGCGATACGCCGAAGTGCGCCTATTTTCGGTAACATTGTTGTCTTATTTTTTAAAGAAGCATTAGGATGCACATATGTATCAACATAAGACCTGGCTTTGATGATTGTAGGCTGACGATTCACAAGACTCGGGCTGCCTCGAAAAAAAAAAAAGTGTGGTTGTCATAAAACTGCCCCAGTTGTCGCAAAACTGCGAAGATGAAAAGTACCGTGCTGTCACAAAAACGTTAGAGGCACGTTCCTGAGCTAAATTACACTATGTCATGCTGACCTTTCTACTATGCAGATTGGAAAGTGTTTATTAGATAATTCTGAAACTGCACGCACTCAGATTTCAATAGCCAGCAAGCACTAACTTATGTGCTGTTACATAGAAATGGGGATGTTGAAGTTACCACAGCAGAATTCTGGGCAAAACTGTTTTTCTTGTGAACTCTCAGCTTTGACATTGCTTCTCTTTGCTGCGGACGAAGAGCACGAGTACCCAAGCAGAATCACAAGCTCATGAAATGAAATAAACGTCTCAATGACAGATACCGCATAGAATAAAATGTCAGAGAAGAAGGCCCGAGTCCCAAGTAAAGTCATTACGAAGAAGTTGCACCTCGCACGTTTCGGCTGCCAGCCTTTTGTGCTTTCGGCAGTTGTGGCAGCCAAACATAGCGCCGCGGTAGCCTGTCAGCCGGTTCTCGTCCAAGTCGTGGCATATACAGGGAATGACCCAAAACATCATCCGTTCTCTCGAAACCCTTTTACCGGGGTATGCCCGCGGACTACACTCCATCGCAAAATGGGAGGGGGGGGGTCATTAACTGCCCCTAGAGTGCCTTGAAGACGCCGCTGCAACGTAGCCACAGTCCCCCCGAAAAAAGGAACCAAGTGGGTTCCGAAACGCCGGGTTCACAAATTTTCACATAGATTTTGCTTGTATAGCTAAATCGTTTCCCTGTATTGAAAATGTACAGATTCAAGGCTACATTCCTCCTCTCCATGAAATGAAAACGGTCTATACAAAGGTAAATTACTCACAGCGAAGCCTAGCCACCATGGTAGTCAAGTAGTTATGGTATTCAACTGCTGACCCCAAGTTAAAGTGCCCACAGCGGCGGTTACATTTTCGGAGGAGGCGAGAATGCCCGAGGCCCATATATTTAGATTAAGGTGCAGGTTAAGCCCAACCCCAGGTAGCCAACTCTTTCAGAGGTCTCCACAATGGGGTGTTATAATTGCATCACGGGTTCGGGATGTTAAAACAGAAGAAATATTATTACAGCGAAGCCTACTCGTGAAAAGCCGACGAAGAGGAAGGATCAGTGGGAGTGCACATGGGAGGCACTTGCAAGTGACAAGCAATCTGCCGCTGTACTCAAAACGAGAAGTATGAAATCGCTGCCGGTTCTAACACATGGGGGTTGCAACTTTGAGGGTATCAAGGAAGCTTGAGAAACGGTAGAGAACGACGAAGCAAGCAATAAAACTGCAAATGGCATGTGCAACACTGAGAGACTTGAACACGGTAGATTGGGCCAGCGAACAGACAAGAGTATTAAATGCTCTAGTTCACGTCAAGTGAACGACATCAACCCGTCGACACCTCGTCTTTTGGTGTGTGGGTTTTTTTTTTTTTTTCATTGCCAGTATCGGCATAAGTGTTCCGTGTTTCCAGTGGCTGCCCCGTATCACTGCGGCCCAGCAGCCCCTGCCGCGACGCTTTGCAGTTCCCACTGTTATGCTAGCATCCAAAGTCCACAGCCACAGATGACAGCAAAAGAACCGGCACAACACCACTTGTGCGAAAATGCCGCCAGTTTGGTCGGACGCCTAGGGGGGCGTTACCCTAGGGGGCGAAGCAACAGCAGCAAATGCATACAGTCGAACCTGCTCGTTGGCAACGTACTGTACAGTTCCTACGGGGAACGCCCATGAGAATTTCAGAATTCTCAGGTGACGGCCCATCAAGCAACAATTAACGAGTTCTGGCGCTGAGCCGTGGTCCCGCAATAGTTGCAGAATAGAGCGCATTTTCTTTTCCCGTTCTAGCACACGCGCGCGCGCACACACACATAAAAACTGTACCACAATTGGTCGGCAAAGCAGGCCACTCACCAGTGCATAAGCAGAGTACATACGTCGGCAAACGCGCGAAAGTGGTTTCTTACCGGCACGACTCACGGTGCATGGCCGGCACAGGGCACAGCCCTTTGTGACCAACACCACCACTCTAGAAATGATCATGCGGAGCAAGTGCTTCCCGAGACATTTCGGACAAGGTAATTCTCGCTACATACAATGCCGACTGAATGCGAATTCAACGAGGCACGATGTCTACGCGCCGTATAAGAGATTTACCAACCTTTCCCTTTGACGAGACCGCAGGCAACGGACTGCCGTATGAACTTGACCACTTTGGCCTTTTTCGGGTTGCCTTTGCAGGTGTAGCCCAGCTCACGGGCCAATGCGAGCAGCTTCGCATACTGCTGAGACTCGAGGTCATCCACATTCAGCTGGCCTTCCATTGGAAACAGGGCGGCAACTGCACCACAATGATACCAACTAAAACAGCGGCCGCTGCGCCAAACTATTTGAACAGCCACGCTAGATTTGTCACGTGACCTAACGTAGCGCCGCAGAAAATGTGAAAGTGAAAAAAAAAACGACACAAACAATTTTTTTATAAAAAACAATGTTACAAATACTTATATACATGTTACAATGTTACTTATACTTTACATACATTATAAAATATTTCAATAAACTAAATCTGCTTATTGAAAATAACGAAGTGCTTGTAGTTTTTGTGTGTGTTCCTTTTTGTCGTTTCTTCGCGCCGTTGTTTCCTTCGCACTTTAAAGTTTCAAACAAAATCGGCAGAGTCAGTTTGAGTACTTTCGATCGCTTTTGGGCTTACCCGTATCCAACTTCTTGATCGCGATTGGCCTTTTTTAGGTGAGCTGTAGCTAGAAGAAAAGTGATTTCGTCAGGATAAGGCTTAACGGCAGTCAGCTGTGTAGAATGTGATGACACAAGTAGTAAACATGCAGAGAACCCGTGTTCTCAATAAAAATTGCGCCGTTTCAAGCGTGCGCAAGGTTTCCATTCAGGGAAAAAGTGAGGGGGAGAGGAGGATTTGTCACAACGCCGCCCCTTCCTTACAAAGTCAATGTGCGAGTATAGTGTACTAGAATATGGGCCCATATTCTAGTGTAATATAGACTTCACCTCCCCCAACCCCCTGCTTAGGTGACTAGTAGTCTGTTTCTGGACGGTAAACACTAACAGTTATTATTAATTTGTATTTCCCAAGTATCTACATTAACTGTGTTTGTCGACGGTCAATGACTATCCATGATATCCATGATTTCGTTGCCAAACACTTTCGTCCGTTCCTGCCACATATTGTTCCCAGCAAAATGTGGTACCCTGGTTGTCACGACCTGTGCCGTACCCAAGAATTTGTTTCGGGGGTGTTCTTCCAGCTTTGGCAACTGGTGGTCTATGTGAAGGCTTGTAAATACTTTAGTATCACCCAAAAAGTCAAGGCAATAAAAACTTTCAGAGGGTGTCGAAACCCCCTCAACCTTCCTCTTGTAACAGCGCTGCTCACGATCCTTCTTCTCTTCTTGGATACAGTACCTTACTTTCACGTTTCATGCTGTCTTATTGGAGAAACCTAGGAGGCTAGCGACAGCCAGAGGTGACTAATACACCATGTCGCATATCGTGCATTCGACCCCAGCAATAATTATTTTAACCTCCTCAATTCATCAGGTATTTCTTTTGAGATCAATCTTAAAATGTGACGGCCTGTGTCTTGCAGAGGAGCAAAGGCACATACCATCATCACATTATCTTACCTTTATTACTTTTTTTCATTTTTCAATAAACTTCGCTTCAAAGCATACTCTCGTGTTTTTATTCATGTTCCGTCTTTGTTGTTTCATTGTTTTTGATAAGATAACATCCTTCATGGGTCTTCGGTACTCATAGAAAGTTTGCCAAACATGACCTCCTCCTGAAAAGTGAAACCTCTTGATGGCTCGAGTCTCCTGACGTCGTGCCACTGACATCATGAATCTGGCACGAGCCCCTTAATTTTGTCGCTCAATCTAACTCTCTACCTTCCTGAACTGTGTTCACCGTCCCTTGGTAACCTTGCTAAAGTATAAGGTGTCTCCAACAGACTGCTGTGCCACAGGTATCTGCTGCAACAAATCAAGCTGACTGTACGAAAGAAATTGCTCCCCGCAATGACTGCATCAGCCAGTCAATAAGCCTTGTTGTTAAAGGCTTTTAGAAGTCTGTCAGGATCTAGCGTTTGACACTGAAATATGAAAACCCGAGTCGACACCAAATGTTGGTTTCAAATAAAGGCACGGCACGATTGAACAGATGACTGATTGCTCATGCTTAAAGTGAGTACATTCAAGCGTACAAATTATGGAGTCACTGCTATTCTTACACAGTAGAAATCAGAACCAGTGGTTAGCATATCGTTGTTTCCAAAAAATGACGTATTAATGCACAGAAATGTGTTTCTTCTCCATTTCTTTAGATGTTGTTTTGATGTGTGTCACACATATAGTATTAATCTAATGGTGCAACGTTTATTCATTTTACTCAGTAATGTATGCTGTCGTTTTACTAAATGCACCTATGCCTGTTGCCATCATGTAAACCCCTTCAATAGAAATTGTGCTGAGGCATGTTTCTCTTTGTCGTTTGGCCCCCTGATCGTAGCTTTATTGCTAATTGGCTAAACCCCCAACTTTGCTTCAAGTGAGATCTTTCAGGGAATTCACTGGAGCAACTCGTAGGATGTGTGGCCATTTACTTACCTATTTATTCTACCCTCAAGGCTTTACAGCACTATGGAGAGGAAAGACAAAAAAATTATTAGAAGATAACATCATTTATTGAATTAATAGTTATATTAATAAATAAATAATTATATTAATAAACAGTAATGGAAGCTAGCATCATAACAGACATTTGAAATGTAGTCAATACAGGAAATAAGGAAAATAAAAATACACGAAGGCATACCTTACAGAAAAGGGCAGTTCACACGCAGAAAACCAGAAGCATAAAAAGGATAAGTTTCTACTTCATGCAATCATTAAATGAAATCAAGGTGCCGTATTTAATACCTTTCGGAATGTGTCAGAGTTAGTATGATATTGACGAGGGCAGCTGACAGGTGATTCCAGTCGTGGCATGTTTTCGAAAGAAAAGAATCACAATATATTAACGTGTTACAACAAGGAATGAGTACTTTGTTGTTGTGATCTAAACGAGATGATATAAAAAATGCAGGCTGTATTGAATGCGATTTTGAAATTTGATTTTGAAAGCAAGTTTTATGGAAGATATAGCGGCGTGCCAGCTTCCTGAGCTTTGCAAGTGGCGTAAGGTTAAATTATGGGCGACTTTCATGGCAGACACACCGGATGGTCAATAATAATTTGATAAGATTTAATGTGCCGACCAATGTTGAACAACCTTTATTTTGTTTATTTATGTTATTTGGCCAGGTTCCCATATTAATGAGGCATATTCTAACACAGGATGAGTATAAATGATAAATAGCTGTTTATGTAATGATGGTGTGAGAGGAAAGTCTCCTAGTGTGTGACTAAACATCGACACTACATAGTCTATATGATTGGACCACGATAGGGTTAATAATATGGATACCAAAGTAGTTATAAAACCTAATGTATTCAAGCTGGATATCATTCAAGGGGTACGAATAGTTAGGTGAATGTGAGTGGTTATGGAGAACTTAGCTTTACATTGAGAAGTTTTAAGTTGCATTTTCCAGAAGTTACACCAATGCAGAATGTTACTGAGGTCATTTTGAAGGCCTCCGAAATCACTGTCGTTATTTTTGCAGAAAATAATGCAGTTATCTGCAAGAACGCAAATATAAAAAGTGATATAATTAGCCAAATTATTAATATAAACTAAAGATAGTAGTGGGCCCTGAACCGAACCCTGTGGCGCACCGGAACTCAAGTATTTTAGAAAAGTCAGAATCATTAGCGGAAACAAACTGCGTGTGTTTAGAAAGGAATTCTTTTATCAAGCAAAACAACAAATGGTCAATGCCTGGGGATTTCAATTTCAGTAGAAGGAGCTAGTGGTTAACCTTGTCAAATGTTTTTGCAAAATCTAAGAACCTGGAGTCAGTCACTATGGCTCTGCCCAAAGTAACATACAAATGATTAGCAAATATAATTAGTTTAGTTTTGCACGAATAGAATTTACGAAAGCTGTGCTGAGATTTGTGAAGGAAGTTGTATGATTCCAAATATTTCACAATATGGGTGAAAATTACGTGTTCCATAACTTTGCAAGAAATAGTAAGTGAAATAGATCCCTCCCTCCAACACCTGGGTGTGCCAGTGAGTCTGTTTTAGGTGCACAATCTTTTCATTGCATATGACAGCAGGTACAGTTGTCATTCACATTGGCTGCCTTACACATACAGCACTGACACCATAAAAAAAGAAGTTTGGAGGGTTTTCTCAAACCAGGAACGGGTGCATACCACCTACTTTCTTCGAAAAGCATTCCTACATATTGGTTGATAAAAAAGCGTGTCTGGCAGCATAGCTGTTCTAGCTTTTTTTTACTTTTTTGCCCCGGTGTAGTGATGGCAGCTGCTCGGCAGTCAGTGCATTCTTTATTTTCAGTGAGAGCCTACAATAAAAATCAGCTATGCGCATTTACTCAATGTCAAAGTGAACTCCACCTTTTTCTCAAGTCCCAGTCATGCCTCGCATGTTGCATCGTGTTTAATCTGATGGTACGTCATACCATACATAAGCAGCAAGAGGTGTCATAATCTTCAAGTAAGGCATAATATATAAGAAGTGAAATTGTGGCACTTTTTTTTAGTAAACTATTGCTCATTACTCCAGCATAATATATGTGTGCATGTTTCAAAAATATCTTTGGTTACGATATGTTTCTATTCCATTAACTTTCACGTCGCTTCTACCATTACACGGAATTATGGTGATGGCAATTGTCACAAACAATGCTCTGAAAATAAGGCACAGCTCTACCTCTCCCCTTATCAAGCCCATGAAAAGATTTCAAGTACTAAGTGTTTGAAGTACACGCTATGAACAGGATATTGCTATCACATTCAACTACTAAAGGTGAAGATCAAGGGTCCCCCAATTTTTCGATGATTGGGAAGTCTCATAAAGTATGAATACTTGTCGCACTTAGCAAGTCTAAAAATAATATTAAAACATGAACATGCCAAAAGTAACTTTTTTCTGCAGCAAGAAAAAGAGCTAAATTTGATAGTAAGCTCCGATGTTTTCATGTTCTATCACTGATATAGTGGCCTACTATACCTATTCTCATGTGATCTCAATTTCTTGCAATTATGCACTGCAAGATAGTCCAGTCACTTCATCTTCCTTGATTTATATGGTTTCCTCCAAAATAATTAATTTGCAGTTGAGATTTACAGTCACACAAAACCTCAACTTCATTTGAGGTCTCGTGTGACTTGATTAACTCAAATTCACGACCCTCGATTCTCCTAACTTCTATCTTAATTCTCCATCACTGCTACAAACTGTAACTCTGCACCAGCCACGGTTGATTCGATTGACTGATATGTGGGGGTTTAATGTTCCAAATCCACCATTTGATTATGAAAGACACCGTAGTGGAGGACTCCGGAAATTTCGACCACCTGGGGTTCTTTAACGTGCGCTCAAATCCGAGCACACGGGCCTACAGCCTTTTCGCCTCCATCGAAAATGCAGCCGCTGCAGCCGGGATTCGATCCCGCAACCAGCGGGTCAGGGTAATCTAGTGGTTAGAGTGCACTGTAACTCTGCACCTGCCAGGGTGATCTAGTGGTTATGGTGGTCGACTGTTAACCCAAAGCCCATGGGCTCGAATTCCAGCTGTGGCAGAAACGTTTCCGAAGGAGGTGAGAATGCTTGAGGGATTGAGGTGAACAATAAGGAGCCCCAGGTAGTCGAAATTTCCAGCGCCCTCCACTACCAGGTCTCTCATAATCATATCCCAGTTTATACACATTGAACGGCCAATTATTAAACTGTAACTCAGGTTATATGTACCAAAACTACAGTATTGCAAAGATAGTCGCAAGCTGCGTCTCGTCCACCATGAACACAATGTCAAAACACAAGGCATAAAACACTGATGTACACTGTCGCCCTTTATGAAAGGGAACAAGCGAACGCGTTGCCGGCGCTCTGCGGCGGCTTCCTACAGCTTCTTCAACCGACAAGTGAAGAAAGCACGTTCGCTTTTGGCGTCATCTATTGCCAAGCAAGATAACAAGTCATGGTCGGTAGACAAGCGCTGCTCGATTATGTTACCTCCCTTCGCCCGTGGTGAGCGATATCGGGCGATTACTGCAGCTTGTGGCGTGGTCGCGCACAACGTTTGATATTGGATATGTTGGCAGTGGACTACGCTAGCCGTGAGCAGAGAGGGAGTGCAATCTAGCAGCTCTTATCTACCCGCCATGACTCATTATTTTTTTGGCAACAGATGATGCTGAAAGCGAACGTGTTTTCTTTTGCTGTCGTTTGATGGTGCTGTAGGCGGCCGCCGCAGAGTGTAGGCCACGCATTCGCGTGTTCCCTTTCATAAAGGACGAAAGTGTAGTTGAACAGTGCAACATTGGTTCTTATCAAGCCCCACACTAAGTACGGCTGCCTCTTTGTCAGGCACATAGCCAGAACTTTTCTCAGAAAGGGCACCTCGATTTCTGATGGATATGCCCACAAAATGGGTCCTTCATCACTTTGTATGCTATGATGAAAAAAAACTTGGAGGGGGGACGGGGCAAAGGCTCGGTGTGCCATCCCCTGGCTATGCCACTGCTCTTTGTGCGTTTCCTAAATTTGGAACGATGTCAACATTGTCGTAGTCTTCGCTGTGTTATATTGACAATATGGTTTTGGGGACCTTGGAAGGATGAGCAGGATGCATGCATATATTCTACACAGTTATAGAGTCAAATAGTCAATATTACAGACCAACACAACTGCGCACCAGCCAGCTTGTCCCATATGTTCTGCTTCCTTCTGTGGAGGTCTCGACACAACAAGAAGATGAAGGAGGTCATAGACATCGGTCTGCGAACTAACTCAGACTCAGATCAAGCCGCGAGTCTGAGTGAGTCCAGATGAGTAATATTTTGGCGAGATTGAGTCCGAGTCGGACAGGTTGAAGAAGATTGACGCGAGTGTGAGTACGGCTCAGAAAAATTTTGGCGAGTCGGAATCCGAGAGAGCCCTAAGCATAGGGTTACCACCATTTCTCGGACAAAAACAGACCCTTCTAAGAGGTGAGGTGGGGTTGAGCTGCCAGGAGATTAAATTAGTGTTAGACCAGACAGGCGGCGAGCCTACCTCAGCGCAAAATATCATTCATCAGTGAGTCAGAGTAAGCTCCACCATTTCTGCCGAGCTACGGTTATAATGGGGGACGACAGAATTATTTCTGACCACTTCCGAGTCCTGCAGCATTACCTTAGTTCAAGAACATGGCTGTTTATGCATTTTGCTCTCATCAAAATGTAGCTGCCATGGCTGGGAACCAAGTCCGTGTCCTCAATTTTAGCTACACTAGGCCATGGCTGCTATCACATTGGGCCCTTCAAAGCGTATAATCTAAAAATTATTTACCTCAACTTGGAACAGACATTCGGTAAGTCATGATACGAGAAACGTCCATGAAATCAATGCAAGACAAAGCTAAGAAGGCCGCAGGACAAATGTATAACTATCAAGTGAAGGTTTAATGGATGAAAAATGTCTGTAAGACAATACTGTCCTCCTTTGTCGTCAATTAGTTGTGGCTGCTTCGTGCAAAGAAAAAATGAGGGAAGGGTCAAGGGGAGTGCAACAACGATGAGGTTTACGCGTGAGTTTACACTCAAACTTGGATTGTCAAGGTTAGAATATGGGCCCACTGTAGAACAAATGTCAACTAGAAGCACATGGTTTTGGGCTAGTTGGTTCATGTTCGATTAGAAGCTACAGGTGTGGCTATTTCGCGCAAAGAAATAACGAGAGAAGGGTCAAGGGGTTACATTTCGTCAAGAGTACCCCTTTATACTTCCCTCGTATTTCTTTGCGCAAAATAGCGACAACTGTGGTTTTCAGTTGAACATGAACGGTCTCGCCCAACATGTCCTTCTAGATTCTTTTGTATAGTATCACGTTCATTTGCCTTGCCACATTACATCAACTGGTGAGAAATTTTTAAGCAGCTCATGTCAATGGAGTCAATACCTTGACAAAAGGGCCTGTCTTTATCAGTCGGTGCCCAGATGAAGAGAAGCCCACTTGTCGAAACATTGACTCCTTGATAATTTCTCATCTCTTGAAGTCTCCCTCTTACACTGACTTTTTCACATTAATTAAGCAATTATACTGGCTGGCCCACGTAATTGTTAAAGCGTGCTCAATAGCAGAGTGCAACAGAACATGGCAGAAAAGCATCAACTGTCGAAGGTTTCCTCATTTTCACACGTTCTGCATCTTTCAGGCCTTTCAGATCAGCTGCTTTGCAAGCACGATGAGTGTGTTGCACAATTATGGCCACATCATACAGCTTAATGACATGGTTTGGCTGCAAATAACACACACACAAAGTAAAAAAAACACTCGACAAGCACAAGCGGCTTGTGCTTGTCGTTAAGTGTTTCTTCACTTTGTGTGTGTTATTTGCGGCCAAAGCATGTCATTAAGCAAGTACCAACTAGGCCAACAATCAGTATTGTATCATACAGCTGCTGCAAAAATGTCCCCATGCAAATTGAGCATGAACAGTCTGATGAATATCATTGCATAAAACTCAAAGCGCGTTACCGTAGTCACTCGGGCAGATAAGTTACAAAAGGTAATCATTTTACCTAGCTATTTTCTCTCTAGACACTCCGAACCAACACTATAAATTGTTTCAGCAGAGTGCTTACGCACATCGCTTAACGCAAGATGCGCTAAGACACCGCATCAATTCCCAGTGAATACTCTCACGGGTAACGGTCGATGCTGAAAAGACTCGCACACGACACGACACAGATCGTAATTAGGGCTTAGCGTAAACCACACGCACCTTAAAACAGCGCAACGCTAAGCTTGACTAGCTTGGCATTAGCGTTGCGCCATACGCTCTTTTAAGGGCTCCCGTACAGTGCAGAACGCTAACGCTACGCCCGCAAGCTTTGCGCACGATTACGCCGTTCCACCCTCGTTGGGCTGGAAAGCGTTCGGGCCTACCGACGCGTATCACTCAGTTAAACGACGTATGTAGTTAAGCGTGTAGTGAAGCACACAAGACTCAACAAATAAGGAATATAATGAAAACATTTATGGGAACATAATGAGTGAACAGAATGAACGCGGGCTGTACATGATGGAGGCCGTCTTCGGTGGTTATGTGGCCAACACTCAGTCCTTCATCTCCCCGTCTTCCTCTTCTTCCTCGACGCCCCTGACGTAGAGGACGTTGTTGCACCTGATCAGCACCTCGCCCAGGTTGCCGGTGCAGTTGCCGTCGATGTACTCCTCGGTGTTGGCCAGCTGCAGGTTCATGTAGCCGTCCACGGAGACCAGGTAGCCCTTGTACTCCATGCCCCACTTGAGCTTCACCATGACGGGCTTGCCGGTCAGGCTGTTCAGGAACGGCTTCGGATTGAGCGGCAACGATGCCATCGCACAGGCGAGTTATTCGACAAGCAACTTGACAACGTAGTGCACACGCACAAAGAACGCCGGCACAACGCACGTCGAACGAAATGCCGGGTAGATGCTAGCTGTGGCTGGCTCGACCTGTGGCTTCACCTGGCTTTACTTTGAATTGCCGTGGATGACTAAACAAGCTTCAAAAGCTTTGCAAATAAAATACTAAATTGATTTTTACGTTTTCATAGTGCAACAATTAATTATTTGTGTTAGAAAAATAAACTTTAACAAGTTTTGCTTTATGTTAACAATGCTAGCGTTGTAAACTTATTGAATTGGTGCTGCCATCTAGCATTTGTAATGAAGACTTACTTACAATGGCGCGATTTACAAAGTTTGTTCACAAAAATTTTGGCGTCAATCGAAAAACACTTCGTTCAACTCAGTTCCAGGTTTTCAAAAATAGTTCACAGCAAGGTATAAGAACAGTACTTTCTCTTTCATTTTGTTTTCAGTTTCTTTCCTCCAAAAAAAGGTTCCGTTCCAGAATGCCGTTTCCATTCCGGAAAAAAAAAAAAAGTTCCGCAAAGGCTTGTAACGGCTTTTACGTGCACACTGAAACTTAGAAATTTGAGCGATAATAAAAAATAGCGTGTATTGATAAAACGTTGCCGATAAAACTACATTTTTCGCATGATTGAATAGATCATTCTAATATGAGGCCGAATGTTACGCGTCATGGGAGCAGGCATAATTTCAGAATCAGCATGCCATCGAGTATGCTCTCTGATATGCGACACCGCTGTTCTGATATAACATGATTTAGCCGAAACTGCCCTTTTTTACACACGTCCCAATAACACCGTATTATTACTAGAGACGCCGTAGCGGAGGACTTCGGAAATTTCGACCACCTGGAGTTTTTTTTTTTTTTTTTTTTTTTTACATACAGTGTACAGTCGGCCAAAGCTTTAACTATTGAGCGCAGCGGCCACTTTTTTGTCTTTCAGCGCCATATTATGGAACGAAGTTACAGGAAATTGCTTCGCGGACATACACTTGTCCTCATTTTTTTTTTTTTTAACCTTAGAGGGTCTGTGAAAAGGTTTTTTCACGTTCCATTTTTTTATTCGACCGTTACTGGAGCGAATCATTGGCACCAGAGTTCAATCGAAACACCCATTATAAAAACGGACCTACGAGTACTAAAAAAAGTACCCTCCTCCTCCGCTTCGCTTTTCACCCTCAACTGCCCTTAACTCTTCCTTCGAGCGCTCGGGACTAAGCTCCGCCTTTACGGTGCCTGCGTCACGATGTGGCGCGAGACCGCGTACGCGTAAATCTCACCACCGATCCGATACCAGCAGTGTGTGCTGCGCGTTCCACTGCCAATCAGATCAGCTGGAAACGATGACGTCAGTGAGGCAGAGCGTGTCGCTTCATGTGTGGGTGGTTGAAAACGCGTTTGGCCGAGTCGCGGCGATCTGCAGCGCAGGGAGTGATTCGCAACTTCAAAGCGTTTTAATAAATTACACAGTTTACACGGGGAGCTCAAATCGGTCTCTAAATCACCCTTTGGACTTGGTCTACCGGCCCAATGTGTTTGTAAATATCGTCAAAACCATTTGATGGTCCATTTAATTCAGTCGTGTGGCAAAGATAGCTTACGATTTCACCCACTGTACACGTGACTCAAACATTCTTGCCACAAATGGATTAGTGGCTGCCGCGGCCGGAATTCGATCTCTCGACTTGCGGGCCAGCAGTTGACCACCACAACCTTTATACCACCATGTCGGGTCTCGCTAGCAGATTCCAATAGCCCTTCATGTATGAAATGAATTAGAAGTTAGGATGAAAGGGAATGTACTCTGGTCTAAGGAAGCTGGTCTCTAAGAACGGGCTCGTTAATTCGCTTTTTTTTTTCTTTCCGTGTGATTGATTGATTGATTGATATGTGGGGTTTAACGTCCCAAAGCCACCATATGATTGTGAGAGACGCCGTAGCGGAGGGCTCCGGAAATTTCGACCACCCGGGGTTCTGTAACGTGCACCCAAATCTGAGCACACGGGCCTACAACAATTCCGCCTCTATCGTAAATGCAGCCGCCGCAGCCGGGATTCGAACCCGTGACCTGCGGGTCAGCAGCCGAGTACCTTAGCCACTAGACCACCGCGGCGGGGTTTTTTCCGTCTGGCCCTCTGCTGTTCTGTAAGTATTTTGGTTGGGGTTAGTATAGTCCGTGTGAACCGGTGTCGCCAGAACAAACGCTTCCAAGATTTAAAAGACCTTTCGCGACTTTTCCGCTTAGGCGTTGGCGCATGTGCCGTGGCATCGGGAAATAGACGGGTTGCGCGCCATTCTATCTCGAACATCTCAAATGCCATATTACAACAACCGGCCTACCAGCATCGGCAGGAAGGTGGCGCTGAAGCAATATTCGCTCGTTGCGTCAGATGAAGTGCAAGGCACCGTACAGCCGGTGCAGCCACCGGAGCAAAGAGAATGTTTGTGTGTGATTGAGACCCCCTAGCATAGAGATATGATATGACTGACTGAGTGAGGTGCACGCAGAGGGCGTTTTGTGCGGCTCAAGCTTCCGGCGGTGTGGCGTAAATCATGGATGTGCTCGTGGCGGTCGTTCTGCTGGCTTCTGTTGTTCGCAAGGCCTCCTGTGAAGGTCAGTGATAATGATTCCTTTCCGTAAACTTTTCGACACGTTTCTAAGCTGCAGTGGGACGATAAACAGGGTTATTGAATTGATGTGGTAATGCCCCCTCCCCCCCCCCCTCCCTCTAAAAAATGACACTCGTTATAACTGAGTTAAGTATTAGTACAAGGAAAGACAAACTTACGGATAGGATGGATGAAGTGCGGAAGTGCTTCAGCATTTTCCCGCTTTTTCGCTTCCTCTGTCCCATGCGCTGTTCCAGATTTCACTTCAAATACTCGTCAAGACTTGGGGTTAAAGAAAGCACGGCTATTGTTATCTTGAGCGCCTGTGCCCCTTTTATAAAAGAAACGACGTGGCCCTTTTATAATGCTTCTTACGATAGAAGATCGAGGAGTTAGCATTCACAAGAGTTGCTAGTATGATCGGTGAATATTTGCGGCTCTATTGGTTCGAAACAACAAGGAAGCACGCTGGAGCTACTGTAACACTGCCTAACATGTAAAGCTAACAGAACACGCTCTCGTAATGCGCCTTACGAAAAAAAAAAAAGCAGATCACGCCCCTTGGAGATCGGCGTTATGCGAAGCATGCGAAGGAAAGGTGACTGCTAAAGAAGAGTGTTAGAGCAAGTTGGCATTGTTTAACGAATTCGACTTCTGTGCTTACGGGTCGTCCTCTTGGTATCTGCTTGTACTTGGTGTTTCGACCTTTCACGGCACCTTTTCTTTTTTTCTTTGCTAGTGCTTCGCTTTCACTCAGGCATACAGCCGATGTAACGCGCTTTCGAGCTGTAGCTGACAGGGCCGCGCAGTGCAGCGCAACAGCAGGCGGGATCGGCGCGCAATTACCATCCCCATTGGCCCCGCCGCTTTGGTCTAGTGGCCAAGGGTACTCGGCTGCTGACCCCCAGGTCGCGGGATCGAATCCCGGCTGCGCCGGCTGCATTTCCGATGGAGGCGGAAATGTTGGAGGCCCGTGTGCTCAGATTTGGGTGCACGTTAAAGAACCACAGGTGGCCGAAATTTCCGGAGCCCTCCACTACGGCGTCTCTCATAATCTTATGGTGGTTTTGGGACGTTAAACACCACAAGTCAATCAATCCCCGTTAGTCCCTTGATTAACGGGCGTTTAAGCACAACACGCACGTCCGCGCATTTGCTCCGCAACCGTTGATCCGTTGGTTAAACGGCTGCAGTTTTTCGAACATTGACCAATTTCGGCTTAAAATAGGGACGCTGAAGATACCAGGCAAATGTTATAACGATCTGATACCAGCAGATCAGGACATTATCATATAGGCCCGTCGCATTACTGACGGTCCAATTTAAGCGCACTAAGATCTTTCCAGCTATTCAATTTAAATCGAAAGTGTGTCGTATTGCGCAACAGCATTCACAGAGGCTGTAGGGGGTACGCACACAAGTCCGGCGCATGATTTTTGTATGCCTATGTGTAGGCTTTTGTTCTGACGAAACAAGTAGTTGGAAGTCGGCGCTCTTTTCTGTCTGCGGCTGCGTAAAGTATTTCATTAATTTTAAGGTCGTATAAGGCAAAAACAGGGCACGCTTCACGAAGAAACGCAAGGAACATGACCCATAGGCTCTAACGAATGAAATTACAGCTCACACACCGCGGTCATGTTACAGCAGGTGTAAAAAAAAAAAAACCAACGATATCAGCAAGGCTTGAATAATACATGTTTTAAGCAGGAAGCGAGACGCAGTCATGGTTCGCAATGTTTCCCGGGGCAGCGCACACAAGTCTTCAGTATAGCTCGGGCCCGTTCCTTGTAGATCACGCTGGTAAACGTGCTTAGAAGCGCCATCTGAAAGAGATCCCAGGTTTTTAGCACGGATTCTTGGTAATCAAACACATCCTCGAGGCGTCTTCTGAGTAGCAGTAGACGTGACGCAGTTTTTCGTTGGAGTCCCAGTCGTTGAAGGTGGTGACTCAGTCGTACATCTCCAACCAGCTTTCTGGGTCTTCAGTCGATGATCTACGAAAAGATGGCAGCTGCCTGAGTTACTGCCTCACGTGTGTGTAACACATAGGCGGTCGTCGCCGCTGTTGTGCTAACCACATGGTTTTGCGGCCTCTCGGATTGGAGGGCGCATTGCAAGCATTGTAGCCTGCGGATAGCTCGCTGTCGCGTGAGGGGTTCGGTGTATTCTTCTCGCTGTGGACCCGGTTCCGGTCTTCAAGCGGGCTTCCGGAACATCAAGAAATCAGCACCTCCACCAGATGTCACGAGGTCGTCTGTCGTGAGTCGTTGAAGAAGGCAGCAGTCGGCGGTTTCGAGACTAAATTTTTAAAGCGAAGCGATTAGTCACCCTTTCGTGTGTTCAGTGGCGCCGCCATCGCTATTGCCGTCCTTGTTGGCGACGTAACCAAGAGACATAAAAAAAATTTATGAGAAAAAAGTGAGGATCAGATGAAATTTGAACGCTGGCCTTCCGCGTGGCTGTCGAGAGTTCTACGAGAGAGCCAAGTAGTTTTTCTTACTTTTTTTTATTTCCAGTTGTCTGTCACACAGGAGTACAAAAAAAAATATATTATAAAACACAACAAAAATGCACAACAAAAATGGCAACCGAACCTAGCGGAATGCACTCTTAAAAAAGTTAGTAAAAAGGTAGCAACTGCAGGCAAATAAGTAGTAACTGCAGTGGTTACTACCTTCCTTCGACCGTTACTACCCTTTTGCTACCTGTTTACTACCTATGTTAGTAAACAGTTACTACCTGCAACCGTTACTAACTTTTGCGACCTCTTTACTACCTACGTTAGTAAGCAGTTAGTAACTGAAATGATAGAGGTAGTAACTGCTGCCGTTACTACCTTTCTTGCCCCGTTACTACCTCTTTGCTACCCGGCTTTTGACTATCTAATCCAAAATAGTGTGTGAATGCAATTCTGATCATTTACGAGAGGAATCGTCTTGACGTATTATCATTAAACGAAAAAATGACGCAGAAGGTACACATAGATCAAGGAAATACATTTCGTTCTAAATTACTCAACCGAGATATGTAAACTTCATTCTGATACTGTATAAACGGAGAAGTACAAGTTAACGAACCATAATCAAGTGCTACACGCGCCGTAATAGACAATTACAACAAAATTAGTAAATTACAGCAAACATTAACAAGACTGGCAGATCAAAATAACCAGATGGCCACAATTAGCCTTGAGGACAGTCACAGTTAATCCACTGCGGCGTGTCTCCAAATATTATCATTGTTTTGGCGCGTCAAACCCCCAAAACGATTATTACCTTTTAAACGCAGTTATATTGGTCGTGTGAAGCATTCAAATGCACAAATAATGAGTTCGGTACATTGGTCCGGCCACTGTACATAATGCCTTTTCGTGGCCATTCTATAATATATAAATATGAGATATAATTTTCATAAGCATGGCTCAAATAAAGTCTTGTGCTACGTCACCAAGCACACGTAACCAGATAGTATAATATAGTGCTATAGGTTTATATTTGTTAAAATTCATCCTGAAACGCAAGGGCTCCCCTGTGCCAAACATGCCCCTGCAAAGTAGGGGCTATATATATCCCACGCTTACGTAGTACTGTACATGTACACGTGAACTTCTTTGGTCTATGCATTCTTCACATTCATGACACACCCCTCTTACGCGAATTCGTCTAGTTGTAAGACATTGATTAGCCAACATTAGCAGTGGAGAAATAATATGCCAAAAGTAGTATCGGTTACTACTTTTTTCTTGAAACCTTCAAAAGTTACCAATGGGTGGTAACGGCTAGGGTAGTAACAATTACTAACTGTTGGTAGTAACAGCAGAGGTAGTAACTGTTACCACCCTCGCCGTTACAAACTGTGCTTACTACCAGGGTTGTAACACATGTGACACACCATTACTACCTCAAAGTTAGCAAGTATTACCGCTTTTTTCTAAAAGTGTGGGGCAACTGCCACCAAGCAATGGTGACATCTTCAATTATTTTATATCTTCATAAAAAAAACACTCTTCTCACTCGATGACAAACACCATCTTCTACAACGATGACATGCGAAAAGGACATAGACAAGCGTGCTGCTTTTCATTTTCTCTTCCTTGAGATAACGGGACCTGCGATACTCGACGTGCGGGAATGGCGCACGAAGCGATTTGCCATCTACGGCTCGCTCAATCTTTGGAACCACTTACTTTGCTTGTAAGCCGAGACTCTTACCGAGTATAGGGAGAATGAGAGGAGGCAAGCATAAGAAGCCATCGCTATAGGCTAACATGCAAATGGATTTTATACCATGTCTGCAATTATTTTCTTTTTAGATAAATACGTTTTAGAAATGCTATAACATATTCAAATTATCGCACTCACTGCATCGCGTTACGAGCAAAAATACTCCACTTGATCTCCGAGCTCGTGATACGACCATTATTGCCGCTTGAACACTTCTTTATATTAGCTTGTTACAAAACGTATATGCAGTCATGCTTTTATGGCTATCCGGTAGTCCTTGTTTATAGCGGTGTATATATTGATACGTGTATATATTGTATATATTGTGTATATATTGATGTATAATATTTTTACCATTTCCGATCTCCACTGCTCTAAGATCTTTTTTTAAGCGTCATATTTCAATGCCTTTGCAGCGTCTACTCCTCACGACATGTCTACCTTAATAGATGAGTCTACGAGTGCTCCCGTCACTGAAAAATCTGCGCACATTAGATCTGTACCATGGCCAGTTGCGTGGCCTGTACCTTGGCTATACCCCCACAGCATGCAATGCGCCGTGCCTTGCGCCCAAGAGTCACCATGCTATATGGCTATGCAATCCATGCAGCATATTCAAAAACCGTGGTTGGTCCCTTGGCCGGAACAATCAACCAATCCGCGGCTCATGCCGTGGTATCCAACGTACGCCGAGTACCACTTCGGTGAATGGTCTCCGTCGTCGCCGAACACTACAAAAGCGAATCCCTCCCATCATTCGCCACAGAAATCTTTATGGTTTCTTCCCGCCCACCCGGTCGAGCCTTCACACGAGCGCCTCAATTCCTCGCCCATACCGTGGCCACAGCCACAGCTGCAGCCATGGTCCTTCCCTCAGTCGGTGCCTAATCCCGAGTTCTGGCCAGCTTCGCAGTACAGCCCTTTTCGTGAACCTTCGCAAAACCCTTGGTCGAAGCCGTATCCTGGGCCAGGGCAGGGTTTTTGGTTGAAGCCGCGTCCCGAGAATTCGCAGAGTTCTTGGTCAACGCCATATCCCAATGTGTGGCTGGATCACTGGTCGAAGCACTATTTTAAGCCATGGCAGGGCCCCTGGTCGAAACCAGATTTCGAGCCATGGCAAGACCCCTGGTCGAAGCCTTATGCCTCGTCGGGGCATGGTTTTTGGTTGACACCGCAACCCGAGACATGGCAGAGTTCTTGGTCAAAACCATATCCTGATGCGTGGCAGGACGGCTGGCCAAAGCACTATCCCGAGCCGTGGAAGGGCTGGTCGAAGCCTTATCCCGAGTCCGCACAGGGCTCCTGGTTGAAGCCATATCTCGAGCCATAGAAGCACGCTTGGTCGAAGCCGTATATGGAGCCGTGGCAGCGCCCTTGGTCAAAGCCTGATCCTGAGTCATGGCAGGGCTCCTGGTTGAAACCAAACCTCGAGCCATTGCAGCGCCCCTGGTCGAAGCCTTATCCCAAGGTGGGGCAGAACCACTGGTCAAAGCCATATGTCGAAGGATGGCAGCACCCTTGGTCGAAGCCTAATCCTGAGCTGGGGCAGGGCTCCTGGTTGAAGCCAAACTTTGAGCCGTGGCAGCGCCCATGGTCGAAGCCAAACTATGAGCAGTGGCAGCGCCCCTGGTCGAAGCCGTTTACCGAGGTGGGGCAGAATTACTGGTCGGAGCCGTATCTCGAGAAATGGCAGGACTTCAGGTCAAAGCCGGATCCCGAGCCGTCGCGGGGCACCTGGTTGAAGCCGTATCCCGAGCCATTGCAGGGCTCCTGGTCGAGGCCGTATCCAGAACTATGGCAGGTCCCTTGGTCGAAGGCGTATGCCGAGCCGTGGCAGACGTCGAAGCCCTATCCTGAGCCGTGGCAGGACTCTTGGTCGAAGCCGTATCACGAGCCGTGGCAGGATCCCTGGTCAAGGCGGGATCCCGGACCTTGGCGGAGCCCGTGGTTAAAGCAGTATCATGGGCCATGTCTGATCCCTCGGTCGCATCCGCATCTCGAACCATGGCAGATCCCCTGCTCGAAGCCATATCTCGAGCCCTTGCTGAACCATGACACGAAGTCGTATTTTGAGTCGTTGCATAGTCCCTCGACCACTCTGCGTCCCGAGTCATGGCCAAGTGCATCAAATAGTTGGTCCGGGGCATATTACGAGTCCACTACATGGTTGAAGCCACCTTCAGAATCTTTGCCAAATGTTTATTTTCAACCTTCCAAGGGACATCGACCAGCTTACAATCCATGGCCCACTTTTTTACGTCATGCGCCACCCCAGCCACAATCGCAGCAGCGGCATGTGGCCGGAGACAGCCTTTCACCGCAGCCATGGCTGGTACACTTGCCTCAACCACCAACGCAGCCCGAGCTATTACCATTGTTCGAGCGGCCATTAGAACAATGTTCCGGATTTCCCTGTCCACCTCAATGGTACCAGCAAGTTCCCGGCCCCGCTGTTCCGAAGCTTGAGCTTTCACCCGACTCGAGAGTTCGCATTTACGGAGGTGAGCACAATTAACATAATCTGTACGGTATACACTATCACAGAACTCGAAGTTGCGTTAGAGAAATTAATTACAGACGATGCAATGTGGGCAAAATCATCAACACAAACTCACATCATTAACTGTCTTTTTTCTATTAAATGGGCCCAGCAGTAATTTTTAACGACATGGCATTAAAGAGATCCTTTCGCGGAAATCCTGGTGTCCGCGTCGTTGGTTTGGTGAGTGGAAGATCACCGTTGTCCGTGAGCGAAAATTTGGGATAGATGAAAATAAATAAGTATACAGAAACGACATATGCCAGTCATTCTGGGAGTCGATGTCATGCGAAGCAGTAGGTGAGCAGTGGCGTATACCACCTCCTTTTTATTCAATAGAGTGAAGTGTTGCGACATTCACGGACTTCTTTGTGCATTTGGAGTAGTCCTGGGTATACCAAGGGCCGGCCCACAGCTGGAAATTTTTTGGTGCGTTGTGGGGGTGGGTGGGGGGGGAGCACTGGCTGATAACCTTGGCTATATGACGAAAGCACCCATATTGAGAAAAGTGTCTACTTGTGGAAGCAATGATTTGGTGCGGCTTGGGAATGTTCCTAGATCTCCCCTGGCCACGGGACTGATCATGCGCTTACCAGGCGTGTCGAGTACACTGAAGCCCTAAGGAACTATGGTGCGATGTAACAGTGGTACTTATGCTAGAGCACAGATATCCATTTTTTTTTTCGAAATGAACTGCACGCTATTGTGCGACGGCGTGCATATCAAAAGAAACCGTTTTGGCTTGTTGTTCCTCTGGGCTTAGCAACGGTTCACCATAACCTGCGGAGCCAGAGGAGTAGCCCCGCCGCGGTTGTCTAGCGGTTAAGGTACTCGGCTGCTGAACCGCAGGTTGCGGGGTCGAATCGCAACTGCGGTGGCCGCATTTTTGACGGAGGCGAAGTGCTGTAGGCTCATGTGCTCAGATTTAGATGCACGTTGAAGAACCCAAAGTTGTCCTTATTTCCGGAGCCCTCCACTATATGGCATCTCTCATAATCATATGGTGGTTTTGGGACGTTAAACTTCAGATATCTGAGTCAGAGGAGTAAGGCTCATTTATAAAAGGAGATAGCGAACTCTGCAAGTTCCAACCAAAATAGACGCTGTCGTGATATACCGTCATTATAGAGTGTTTTTCGTTAGCTCGTTCAAGAACTGGTGTAGCCATGAGGTAGAATACTCGGCTGCCATGCAGCATGCCCCGGCTTGATTCTGGCTCTAATCTTCATGTTTAATCGTGGTTTCCCTCCAATTTATCCCTCACCAACTACGCTGCGGACGCCTGCTCAGCACTCTGTGCGCCAAAAGCGCCATAGCGCAGTCGTGTAAATATTTTTGAAAGGCTGTTATCGTTCATCCTGGGTTGGACGATAACAGAGTTTAGAAGTCTGTTTTCCTGGGAAGTCATGTCTGAGATAATTTGTTCTTACGTTCTTAACAACGATAAAAAAGGGGCTTTGTTTTCATTAAGGTTCCATTTTCAATCAGTGCCTATTTCGTGTCGTCCCCGTGTCTAGTTTTCCACACTCTAAGCCTCATGATGAATCTGTACCAGCTCTCTCTGCACACCATTTCACTTCAGTTCAAGACAATTGGGGCCCAATATTCGTCATGTTCAATGAAGCGCCGTTGGCCCCGTAAAATCACTACCTTGGCATTGACTGTTCTGACTCGGTGTTGGTGGAACAAATCGTGGTGAGAATGGTACAAGATAGTTGGTACTTTATGTGATATTCATGACCTGGTAGGCATTAAATGGTGTCTTAGAAAATCTTTTGGGAAACTGAAATGCCTGTGGACTTAATTCTGTTCAACTAAAAAGCACGGAGTTCAATAGCGTTTCGGTGGGTGTTTTAAAGAAAAGTTCGTACAACTGGACAGCCAGTTTCAGTGAAGTTCGTTTAAGTAGTATTTTCTTATAATGTAAACTGATTCGAGTGTGATATTTACGACGTTGCTTTTTTGTGTGTGATGAATCATAAAATTGTTTATATTTGGTGAAACTTAGCGACACATTGTCAGACCCGAAAATCTCGTGAGACCTTCTAGCAATGAAGCACGGAAACTTGGGCAAGTTGGTAGGACATAACTGAATATAAGAGCAGTACAACTTAAAAGTAGTTATAGTGTAACTATGGAAGTAAATATACTGAATAAAGCACTGAAAGCAAAGATACTGAAAAAAATAAACTGAATACAACTGAATCTTTTTTATTCGTGTATCTTTGCTTCCGTAGTTATAATGTAGCAACTTTTTTAAGTTGTGCTGTTTGTATATTCAGATACCTTCTTGCAATTTCTAAACAATGGCTAACACTAATATTGGTCCCTCTAACGGCTCTAGAACGAACGTTAGTTGACTTACCGTGACCTTACTTGAGGCATTCAGAGTTTTTCCGTGGTGTGTGTTACATTTGCAGGCACGGATCTGACGAGGAACGCTGCCAAGAACCACATGACCTCCCACTACTTCCGCATTACCCCGTAGAACAACCTGAGAGGGACGCAATTTCGCATCCCAACATGATTCGTGCCCTGTTTCTTTTTCCAGTGTGTCAGCAGCATAAAGCCGGTGATAGAAATGACAAAAATAAACTGCTGCTCAAACCGCGCGATGATCTCTGTTTTCCATTTTGACTGCAGCGCAGAAGCAGTGCCTGCTTCTTGCAAGTGAGACCTGTCACGTTTATCAACGGGGCGCTCACATACGCACGTTATACCGTGCGTCGCTGTATTGTGTGGCCACGTGTAACCGAGAGCGGTTCTGGTTCTTATGTGTTTTCACTGAAAAAAAGAAACAGTTCTAAAGTAAGTAACTTTGGCTGCTTGACATTAAAGCTATTTTCTCAAGGTTATATTGGTTTTATCTTAGTCGACGGAACGTTGCCTAATTACCGGTGGCTGTAGTGTTACCATCCTAATATCCTTTTTATGGCTGTTAATGCTTTCTCCGAGAACATATCAAGAGGCATAATTACGAAATACCTTTCTTTATCTGAAAGGATATTCATTGGCTGGCTGTGTTTACAATAAGACCTCTCGGGTCCAGTAGTAGAGAGAGAGGGGGAAAAGGTAACTGCGATCGCCCCACTCCTCTCGGCCAAGCCGTTCATTACACTCTAAAAAAAAAGAGAGTATGCGTCACTCTTTTCGGAGAGTTCTGACAGGCCACGTATACGACTCCCTTTAGAGAGTCACGGCGACTCTCTTGGTAGGTCACAGCTGGCGCGGTCTAGGAGACTGTCTGGAACCCATTAGGAAGGCTTGACTCTTATGCGAATGATCACACAACCACTTCTGACGGAGTCAGACGACTCCAGCCGGTGACGGTATACGTCGGTCAAATGACACCCACCGAAGCGTCAATGAACCCTACGGCCATTTTAAGCTACTCAAGGGACCCATGCTCTACTTTTGCGCGACTACTTTTGGACATAGTGAAGTATTCGATTTAAGTTACTCTAGTAATATTCGCCGCTGTGCTCAACACCTGTATAACAAAAAGATCACGTTTAACATTATTTTGATAAAAGTTGTCAAAGCAACACACCATTTCCAGCAGAGTAAGTTAAAAAACACAAAGAGATGCTCTGTAGTTCCCAATAAATCAGTATAGGTATTCTTCATTTACATGCTTGTATCAGTGTATGTATTCATCACTTAGGTTCTGGTATTAGTGTAGCCAACCAAAATGTGTGACTGTGATGTGCATGGTGTCATGTGGTACATGACACCATCATGTCGACTGCAGATATCGGCATCATGTTTCCAAATTTTTTCCTTATGATTATGAACAAAGTCGTGATGACTGGAGAAATCAAACGCATGAATTGTCATGTTGCTATTCTTTTTCAGCGTGAGCAGCCATGAGAAATGGTACCCGAAAAGAAGAACGTGATGTCACGATGAGAGAACGGAATCGCAGTAGGAGTTCGCGGAACCTACACATTAAGTAATTTACACAGACATAATGAAGGCTCACAACCGAACAAATGCTGCCAGGACTGGTAAAAACGATGTTTTTTTATATTTATCGCGTAAAACACAACTTCGAAATAGCTTTCGTAAAATTGTATGTCCCTTGGTGACGAACTTGCATTGAAAACTGATGTGAGCATTTTTTTTAAACAAACGCAATTAGTTGAGGCTCTTGTGCGCGTTGGTGCCACTTGCCTCTCTCTCTCTCTCTTTTTTTACATCGTCTTGTCCAAGCAGAGGAAATCTAGGACCGACTGCCACGTTGCCGATGTTGATTTTCCGATCATTATGGGGGTGATCGAGGCGCCCGACAATAGCGATGTCTTCGTTTTCCTGATTGTGGCCGTCAACTAGAGTGTATGAAGAGGCTGGAGAGATGATCCAGGATCCCGGGAATAACCAACAGACAAACACTCGGAGATCGAAACAAGTATTTTGTTTTAAATTACCGCAGCGAGGACGAATTTAGACGAAAAAGATATTGACGGACCCTTAAGTTTCAACTTTGACAGTTGAATTTTTCAGCCAGCGAGGCTGTGCATTCGGGAGCTTCAGTCCCACGCCAAGACCTCAAATGAACGCCGCACACGTGTAAAAGAACGATTATCAGGCAGTTCCGCCCCAAAGGAAAACTGTGGCGCATTGATTCGCCTGTATGCGAAGTCGTTATTTGCGTATATAGCGAAGGTGCTTCGGCCGTTTTTATTTATTTGTCTACCTGTCTAAGGGCCTACGACACCGCGTCCTCGTGGCTGCCTCCTCCATTTTGAATGCACCAAAACTACCGTGGGAGGACAGTGGCGTACAACTACCTCGAATAATGGGGGATCATACGAATGATGTGGCATGCTCGTCATTTGTCATGGAGCCATTTGACTTGGGCACGCGTGGCCGATACCACGTACCAAAAAACCAGGGGTATGAGCCAGTGTTTAACACTGTCTACGTCAACCCAGGAACTGTGAGAATTAGAATCAGAAAATTCCAACATGGAAGTGTGCAAAAACCTAAGGTCACAGAAAATCCGGGGCCACATTTGGTGGTGTTAGTGAGCGAAAAACTATAACTGACGCAAACGGAAAAAAAATACTTGTAGAACGGTAAAGATTCGCCTTCAAGAGTGTACAACTCAATAGCCTGATCGGGCCCCTTGAGCCCTCGTTCACACACGTAGTGAGTGCGTTTTCAGAGTAACTAATGAATTATTCATATTCGACATAACCCCCCCCCCCCTCTAGCATAAGTACTTGAGGGGGACGGCAGGGCCATATTTGAAGAAACAAGCCGTAAGCCATGCCCCGCCGTGGTGGTCTAGTGGCTAAGGTACTGGGCTGCTGACCCACAGGTCACGGGATCGAATCCCGGCTGCGGCGGCTGCATTTCCGATGGAGGCGGAAATGTTGTAGGCCCGTGTACACAGATTTGGGTGCACGTTAAAGAACCCCATGTGGTGGAAATTTCCGGAGCCCTCTACTACGGCGTCTCTTATAATCATATAGTGGTTTTGGGACGTTAAACCCCACAAATCAATCAAATCGATCAATTAGCCGTAAGCCATAACTAATAGATGCAAGTGACACTTTGCCTCAATTTTGTACTATTGTCGCTGGAGGGAAATGCCCAAAAATTGATTATCGCGTGCTTCTTTAAGAATTCAAGCGCGCCACTTGCACGATCGCCACGTGTACTGAGAGCCCCGTAAGTGTCATAAATACATATCGTATAGGAAGTAATATCTCGACAATATCGCGTCAAACTGAAGGCGAAGATCAGCCGATATAGTGAAGTGTATATCACCGAGAAGCTATAGATACTAGAAGAAAAAATGCGCAGACATATCCTGGCATACCTCTCTTCCTTAAGCATGGAGCACGAACCACAAGAAACATGAAATCAGGTAGAGATGATTAGCATGCACTTTCGTTTAGATATAAGTTTCCAATGCCGCGTAAAGCAAGTGACGTCATGCACACGCGCACGTCATAATACTTCTGATACAGCGTGGAGATGAGGCGGGCTTTTCATTTCATTTTTTTTTCAGCAGACAACTGAATGGTATGCACAGGTATGTACATAGTGCGTACCGAACCAGTTTGCTTTGGGTAAGAATAGCGTGCTACAGCACGCCGTATTGCGTTACCGGAATTGATCATGGAGGCAATTAGTATACGCATATGTAATGTGCACGAATAGCCGCCAGAGGGCCGCAGAGCAGACGAGATGGCACAAAAGCAAGGAAATCGGTGGTTATTAGGTGAACAAGAACAAGGAACATCACTTAGTCTTGACGGCTTCCGCGCACTGCCCGGTGTTGAACAACCTCTTCAAGAAACCGTTCCGTATGATTAAGCCATGGCCAACAAAGAAAACTTCAGTGAGTACAAAGTGCGCATTCGCAATATTCGCATATCTGGTACGCACGGAAATTCTGCATGCATTTAATGGCGCCAATTCAATGCATGGCATGTTTCGCTGCGGATGCAAGCGAGGCTTCTGAAAGGAGGTGCATCCATGGCGAGAAATAGGCCAGCGTTTGTTACCGGAAAAAAACTAAAAAAGAACGGAGGTATCGGCATTCATTACAGAGTGCGTCGGTATAGGAATGGTTTTCATTATAACTTTCTGTTTGAATGCGTTACTAAGGGGCTGGTTATAGACGCACTGCTCTTTCGTAGTTCTGAAAATCTTTCCAGTGTCCGTCGATTGCCCGTGCCACTGGGGGTTTACGACATGACTGTGTTCAGGCTGACCAAACAGTTCAGAGGCTTTGATACATTGGAGAGGTACAATCCGTGTTATGAAAGCAGTTGTTAGTGCACTGTTGGCGATAACTTCACGTTTCATTACTGGTCCTCCTGTGCACCCTTTGCAGCCCGTGGCATTGCCGCACGTGTCATGGTTCGCGCTATTATACGCCGTTCTAAAGGCCCCCAGAAATCCCGTGGAGTTAACGTACAGACGTTTCGTTCCGGTTAGACGTACATCGCGTGCGAAATTCTATGGTCATTTACAACAGGAACTAAACGTAAGACCCCCATTGCAACATGATTGCCATTCATCTATGCAGGATGTACACGTGCTGGATTGTTTGCACCGTAGTTGTCGGTGCTTTTTTTGTGGCTGATGTAAACGCTTCGCTTACACAGAATGAGGTTTGTCAGCCCTGCTTAAACTATTTACGTTTGGCTGGGCACTGGTGGGAGAGTATATGCTGAAATTGGACAAGAATTTTCAGCGTTCTGCCGGAAAGCAGTGACGTCAACGTGTGTTTGTAATGGAAGTCACCCACCTGAAATCGCCAAGGGCGCTTGACGTCACAGAGAAAGAAAGGCGATTGGATGGGGCATCTGTGTAAATTGTATACCTTCAGTAGGGCAGGGATGGAAGTGGGCAGCCCTTCTCTTTATCCTTAGGTTGAAACCGATGAGAACCATAGTAGCGCGTGCCAGGCTGCATCGCTGCGCCTTCTGGTGGTCTTACGGCTCACTTCAAGAGTGGCTGCGTAGCCTCCGCGATCGGCTGCCGGCGCGCGCCGTCCGCCGGCAGCCGATCGCGGAGGCCACGGTGGCTGTATAGACCTTTTCACTCAAGGCTCCCTAGGCGCCGCCATTGTCCTCTCTGGGCTGTTGTTGGTGAGCGTGACCAGCCAGAAATTGCGCTGTCGAGGCTGTGATGTCGGCCTTTATACTCCTGTGCAACAGCTCAGAAAGAAGGAAATCCTCCTCTCCGCAAATAAGGTCCACACAGCAGCCGCGCGTCCTTTTTTCGCCCTCCGCACTTTTCGTTCGATAGCTTCACACGTGTGCGCCCCAAAACGGGGTCCAAGCGCACGCTATCTCTTCAGCAATCACCGTGGCAATCGCCTTCACCAATCGCCTGAGAGACAAGATATCGTGACGGAAAGGCTTCGTTTACACAACTGAAGAGTTTTCATCACGATGTCATCGCATGTGGCACTTTACACCACGACCAAAGATCTGGAGCCTTACCTTCGTATTCACAAACGCTCCTCGTCTCGAATTCCGTCCTTCACTTGACTGAGTTGAGCACTGCACCACTGCTCGACTTAAACTGACACTGCGCTTCTCAAGAATCGCTGCAGATTATTGCCGATATGCAGTGACTTGGTCTGCCAAGAGACGGCACTCGCATCGACTTTTTCAAGTTAAGGGGAAGCGCTGAGCGAAGGGACGTTTTGAAATACGGCGGTTACACTCGCTCCCGCGTTCTGGTACGCGCTCTAAGTGCTTAGGCGAGCTAACAAGCAGAGCGGAAGACAGAAAGGGACACGGTTCTGCAGTATACAGACTCTCGAAGTTAGCTGTGATGCGGACAGGAGTCGCACAGATGCACTTAACTATACAATCCCTAAGCTTCTAGATTTCACACGTTACTGCACCACTGCTAACCAGATAATTAACCGGTGGGAACGCCCCACCGCGGTGTTCTAATAGGCATGACGCTCGACTATACTGAACCACACGTCGCGAGATCGGATACCAGCCACTACGGCTGCATTTTCGATGGAAGCTAAAATGCTTGCTTATATTTAGCTGTGCGTTAACAATCGAAGGTGGTCGATATTTCCGGTGCCTTCCACTACAGTGTCACTCATATTCTTACGTTGGTTTCGGGACCGTCTAGCCAGATAAGGAAATTTCTAGTGGCAACGGTAGCGCGCGTGCTCAGAATAATAGTGGAACAGCGACACGTCTTATACCCATCTCGCGTTCTACTTTAATGTCGACCGAGCAGCGCTTCACAGTGCTTCTACCTGCCTTCGATTCCGTGTCACAGCCAAACTGACGCCGTCTTGGCAAGGTGATTTAGTCAGCAAACATGAAATAACGTTCCTTCTTGCACCGAATCTGGACCCCATGTATTTATATCTTCATAGTTCTGTACATATGCAGGCAGGATATACAGTATGGCAAGGAGACACTGCTCGCTGAAGGCACCGTAATATCTTAAACAGAATCAAGCTGTGTGTCTCAGATGATGTCTCGTTACCCAGTGGCCTTTTGCGCACGAGCACATTTAACCAGCAGTGGTAGCAAAACGCAGTTCTTGGGTGCAATGTACTGGTGGGCTAGTTGGTTGATCATCATAGCGTGTTTTTGCGTATATCCCCAGAACACGCTTTAGGAGAAGGGCTTTTGAAGATACTTGCCGTGCCGTGGTGTGCTCGAAAAAAAAATATACGCAGTTGGGTATGCACCACAGGGATTGGACAAGCCCAAAAACCGAGCAGAAGCAGTTATGCGAACCATGTGAAGCATTGTTGTGATGAAATTGAAGTTAAGGAGAGGAGGAAGATAGTGAATATGAAGGTTAAGCATAGCAAAGCCATTGATAGTACAGCAAGGGTGTTCGAAAGTGAACTGAGGGAAAGGAAAAAAACAAGGAAAGGGAGGGTTAGCATAGCAACTGAATGGATAGTAAAGCAAGCGTGTTCGAAAAGAAAGTGAGGTTGATGAGAGTGATAGTGAAGGAAATGGTGAAGGTAGGAGCGAAAGCAAGCATAGCCTTGTATACTAAAGCAAGACGTGCGAAACGCAGACAAGGGTGATAAAGAATGAAAGAATGAGAACGCCGCCAGCTCCGCTATTTTTTCAGTCTTCGCAGCACTACTGCTTAGCTGCCCCAATTTTTTAACATGAGTGTTCTGTGCCGGGGTCAAGGAATGCTTTAGGGACGACGTATTTCCGTCACGGAAATGACGTAGAAAAAAGTACGCACATTCAGAAGACAAAAAAAAGCGTGCCATTGCTGGGAGTCAAACCCATGACCTCCGAGCCCACGGCAACAGATCCTGGTACACTATCCACTTCGCCACGGCCACATGCTTTGTAGGCTTAAAATATGCCATTTGTAACTACCACTGTCTTCTCAGTGTTCTCGGTAAAGTAGAGTGATGCGTCATGACCATGGCATCCGCGATTAGTTTACCTGAATGCGTCCTGTTTATTTGTGTTTCTCTCTTTCTCTCTCTCTCTCTTTGGCAGCACTAATCCGAAATACTGACGTCGACATCCACAAGCTCGAAACTGATCTTCTCTTGCTGCGGGCCATGGTTAGTGTCGCGGAAGAAGACGGAGCTCACGACGCCCGATCGCTGTGTCTGCAAGACTACAATTCAAGCTTTAGAGAGCAACTCCTGGAATGTGAGCGATAATTACCAATACCTGTGCCCTTTTCTCTAATCCTTCGAGAGCTGCCGTGGTCTTGTTGCTGTGGTGCTCGACCGAAGACCGGATGGTCGAGGGATAGAATGACGGGCGCTGCGATTGAGGCGAATAGCTAAAGGGCCGTGTACTGACATTCGAGTGCATTCGATCCCGTGACCTGCGGGTCAGCAGCCGAGTACCTTAGCCACTAGACCACCGTGGCGGGGCTATTATGTAACCATGAATACGCTGTGTCCTATTTGTCAAACTTTATTTGCATATTTAACACTGACCATAGGGCGACTTGGTACGGATGCATGGATTTAGAACGGCGCAACAAATCGCACGAAAAATTCGGCAGATCCCACGAACCTTGGGAATCGATGTTATGCGAAACATGCGGAGAGAAGTGGACAGTGTTGCAATTTTTCTATTGAGTAGCAGGTCATGAAATGACGTAAGCATGTGGGAGGTAGTGGCCAGATACTGCACCAGGGTGGCCAATCCTTCTCTGGTGAGGGAGTGCGTTCTCGGCGGTGTTTTGCCGGTGAGGCCGCACCCCAGGCCTCCTAATGCAGTTCCATCAACACGCGGATTTTTTTTGTTTTTTTTTAAATCCGGTTGGGAACTGCGCGGTACCGGGATTTGAACCACGGACCTCTTGCATGCGAGGCGGATGCTCTAACCACTACGCCATCGCTGCTCTGGTGCTAAACGTATGTATAGATGTTGCACGCACAAACATATGTTCAAGAATAGCAGATGTTTATATAACCAGTTAGCCCTCGTGCCGCGGTGCCAACAGGAACATGAGTATTAGCGACGCCAGAAGCGATCAGCTGATATAAAGTGCTTGTGTTTGCGAGGATGATAGCGCTGGACACGTGCATAAGCATAAACTTCCTAGCATGGCGCCAATTACAGTTTAGTCAACCCTACGTGACGGCTGTATCAAAAGAGTAGATATGTAACCTTTATAAAATCAGATAGCCAGCACTGCAACCACTACTGACGTTACACGAACATTAGGCTCTATTTAAAAATTAGTTCCGACGCCTGGCGTGGCTTTGTGGTAGATTGCTTGATTGCCACGCAGAATGCTTGGGTTCCATCCCTGATGGGATTCTGACATTTATTGTTTGTATTCGTCGGAGCAACGCTGTCGATGTCCGATGTCAGGCTTTTCTTAACGCTTACGCGTTAAAATTGTCCATGTCTGTTCTTGTCCTTCCTGGATAGATGAAGTGTCAATCACCTGTGGCATGCATACCAGCATACCAGCGGCACATACCCTCCCGCGAGTATGTGCCACTGTCTGGCGGGGAGTGCTTGACAACGTACGCGACGCGATTGTGACAATGTTTGTTGACCAGCGCGTCAAATTTGACATATCATCTTACCCTCTCATACTAATTTTGCTTCACACCAAGTTGAGAAGGTGACCATGAGAGCACCCAGAGGTAAGCTGCTTGATAGACAGATAGATAGATAGATGGGTGGATACTTATATAGATGCCAAAAAAGCTTACAAAACGCAAAAAAAAAATGCTTCGCATTTAGAATACAAATGTTCACATGGCACTTTTGTTCGGTGTCTGTGTTCTTGTGATTATCAGTCTTTTTGTCTGCTTTGTTGTGCCGTTTTACACCCATTCCCATTTAAAGATCACCTACTTGTGCATCATGCATTGTCATATTCTGCAGTATATGCAAATTTTGTGGATTTTGAAACATTATTATTATTATTATTATTATTATTATTATTATTATTATTATTATTATTATTATTATTATTATTATTATACATGCACAGAGTAAACTGAGACAATATATTTTACCTTGCTTTGACGCAGTTGACTCGACTTTAATGCGTGGGAAGATTGACGAGGTGCTGTTCAAGGTCGCACAGCTCATGTTCATCTTGAGTCATCGTACAAGGGACAAGGGGCTACCGGACCATCTCACCTTGCTCAGATGGGGCTTTGAAGAAGACATCGCGGATATATTATCGATTGATTAGCACAACCTCAAGAAATACACTCATACACACAAATAAACTTGCTCTGCCTTTTACAGCTTCGGTTTGGTTTGCTCAAAGCTGACGCCACCTGGCGTCCGCTTAATGCTTTTAGATGCGGAGCATCTTATACTCGCGCCTTGTAGTGCGCCGTCCGCGCCGTCCGCACCGCTTCTCGAACATTCGACAGCTGACGCGCGCGCATGCGCCGTCGCGCCGTCGCCCACTCTTCCACCATCTGTGCATCCCTTCCTCCTCTACACACCGCGCGTGCTTCACTCCTCCACCATCTGTGCACCCTTCCTCCTCTACACACCGCGTTCGACATCTACAATTCTCCTGATTCTCCAGTGGACGCGCATGTGGCGTCGCGCTTCGAGAACATTCAACAGCTGACAGTGCATGCGCCGTCGAGCTGTATATATACTCAAGGTCGGCGCTCGCTCGCTCAGTTGCCGCTCGTCGGTTGGTTTGTACGGCGCGTCGACGTCCAAGGTCGCGGTGAAATGAATTCCAACGAATCCACAAACACAATGATCGACGTCCCTTCGACCAGCGCCGCCCTTTCGCATACGTGTGTACGTGTTCACTCATTTAACACCCCCTCCTACAACCACGTTAACCAATTTAGCCATCGACCCAAGTAAGTCGCAATTTAACACCCCATTTCACAACCACGTTAACCAATTTAGCCATCGACCCAAGTAAGTCGCACTTTAACACCCCGTTAACCAATTATATGCTCCCCGTCCTCCTCAGTGTTCCCCCGAGGGAAGCTGCGGGCAATTTTTTTCCTGACTGGCGCTTCGCGGTCTCAGTTTCAAGAGCTTTTCGTCAGGTTTCGCCTTGGCAAAGTGTGTCGTTGGGGAGAACTGAAAAGGCACCAGAACCCAAGCCAAATGTGGCCAAAGTGGCCATGCCATTTAATATGGCCAAACCTGCATCCAAATAGAACAGGAGTAGCATCAAGAACAGTCTTTACTGTTGATGAATAAATTAAACCATTTCAAATAAGTAAAGCCAGAAATTAAAAAGTATCCAGTAAATAGCCATGGTGCCAACTGAAAATTTTCGTTGACAAACGGGTCAAAAAGTAGACAATTTGGCGCAAGGTAGCTACGATTGTTGAACCTGGTCTTGGCGCACTTTACCTACGCAACGGAAAAGCCGGTTGGGCAACCTTTCTATCTCCCTCCCCCCCCCCCCCAAAAAAAAATTTTTTGAGCCTTTTTTTTTTTTTTCAACTGGAAATGTAAGTGTGGCGCGTGTACAGCTGGCGCACCACTTTTCTTTCTTTTCCTATTCCTTTCTTTGGCTTTGCTCTCTGCAAACTGTTTCCACACGCCATGCTGCGAATCGGATTGTCACACACATGCTCACCAGTGCAACACGTCGTGGCGTTGAAAGGGTTAACCGCATTTGAAATGACCGGTTTCACTGGCGATGAAATAAAATAATGAAACGTCAAGTAATGTGTAAACTAGGTTATACTTAGCAAAGAAAGAAGAGCCGCACATCAATGCGTATTTTTCGTAAATACAAGCAATATGAAGAACAACTCCAAGAGGACACTGTCTCGGCGATGTCGGAAAAGATTCAGCGCGAAAAAACTGCCGATGTGCTCCAGCAGGGAGTCCCCCTCATGCTGCTTGACATAAGATGTTGCAGCTGTCTTCTCAGTTTCGGAAAGATTGTGGCAGATCTGTTGCTAATTTTTTTTCTTACGCAGTGGGGGGAAGAAACGGTGGCTCTTGCATTGACTATTCGGGAAAGGAAACACAACGTGCCAACACCTCATGGAGAGGGTGCTATAGTCTATGCAATACGCCACTACCAGCCAAAAAGTTCAATAAGACCTTGACTTATTTTCTGTGTGAAGACTGATTGTGTCGGTATTCAAGCGTCGACTGTTCTGATAAGGGTCTGTCATAAAAGCGGGCCAACGCAGCAGCTACAGCGGTAGTCTGAGGCAGACTCTCTCTCTCGTGAAGAGGGAAGACGGCCGGCTTTTATCCCCCTCCCCCCTTGTAACGGGTCAGCAAGTGATTCTTTGAATTAATAGCCTGCTATTTCCGCTGGTAAAACACGCCAGAAAAAATAATTCTCCGTGCAGCATTATAGGAATGCCGGTGCACCAATTTTACAGATTTACGACGCCCGTGTATATCAATCGTCCGATGAGCGCCATAAATGCATGTCTTGTAAGTATAACCTCTCTACGTCATAAGTTCAAGCTAAATATAAGCCGACATCTCGCTTTTATGGCAGGAGTGACGTGGAATTCTGAGTTCGAGATGTGACATTCGTTGGATAGCTTGGTATTGAAAAGCATTCGCATGCAATTAGGTATTGATAAGTATTGGCATGCACAAGGCACACAATAGTGCGGCTTATCTGGAACGGTATAGGCATTACGTACGACTTGTCGCGTCAAACTTTTCAAAACGCTTGGCTAATGTAATGAAGTCCTACTTCCGATCACAAAAAAAATAACTGTTTAGTGTCGCTTTAGTCCAAAAGTAATGTTGCTTCTCCGTAAAAATAAATTATAGAAGCTGTGTTTTATAGCATTTGCACTCGTGCAACGATACATAAACGCGTTGCAGAGTTCCAGAAGCCGCGATAAAAAAGCACGCATTCATTTGTGTCACACGGCCCCGTTAACTCTCCGAGGGTTCCTTCTCGCCGTGTGAGAAGAAAGAATCGGGTGCGTTCGCACTGGCCAGCGGACAAACACTTTTTCTTGCACGAGCGTGTATTGTTAATGACGTCACCTAATCGAACAGTAGAAATCGCAACGACCCCTGAAGGTATCGTCAAGCCTTGCTGTGTGGCGTTGCAGAAGTCGGGACGCAACGTTTGCAGACGCTGCGGGCGTTGCGGGCATAGCGGACGCCATGCGAGTTCTAGAATAGCAGGTTTGCTCCCCCTAGGGAAACTTCTAGGGACTTTCGCCCCGACCGCAAACCCAAATGCACAGAGGCACAGAAGCACAGGAGAAGGATTGAAGAAAAATTGCTGGAGTGCAGGCTCCCGCAATGCCTTGCCAGCAGAAGTGAAGCCAGCTTTTGCCACTGCCAAGATGGCGGAAACACGCTCTTTTCTGATAGCGCCCACTTAAATATATAGTGGCTTTGATATGTTATGTAAATGCTACGTTAGTTCTATATTAAAGGATAGTTGTTCCCGACGATATAACACACAGAAACGAGTATAGATGACTGAATCTTCAAAGAACTTTGCCTCCAGTTAGAGGCTCACTAAGGAAAAACTTGTAACTGTACGACGCACTTGGAGGGCTATGTGATCCGAAAAAGCTCCTACGATAACTTCGTTAGGCATGTGAGGGAAACACTTCGGTTTTAATCATTGAGCAGCGATACTTTATCATGCCCCTAATAAGATGGCCACCGCAACCGCCATCTTGCCAGAGAAACGGCTTTACTTCTGCGCAGTCATTTCCACTCCAGCAATTTTTTAAAATCCCCCTTGGAAGCTACACACAGCACTTCACGGGGCTTGCCCCGCCGCGGTGGTCTAGTGGCTAAGGTACTCGGCTGCTGACCCACTGGTCGCGGGTTCAAATCCCGGCTGCGGCGGCTGCATTTTCGATGGAGGCGGAAATGTTGTAGGTCCGTGTGCTCAGATTTGGGTGCACGTTAAAGAACCCCAGGTGGTCTAAATTTCCGGAGCCCTTCACTACGGCGTCTCTCATAATCATATAGTGGCTTTGGGACGTTAAGCCCCACATATCAATCAATCAACTTCGCGGGGCTCACGGGCCGCGATCTCCGCACGCTCTTTCGAATTTTCTGCGGGCGTGGGCCACGAACGGGGCGTGGGCCACGACTCACCTTACGACGCATGCGCAGTAGCAGCGACCGCACCGCAAAGACTCGTGGTGCGATATTCTAAAACTCCCTATGTTACCCCAAAGTCTGGCAACTGAGATATACAACACTAAACCGAGGAGGATTAAAGAAAAATTGCCGGAGTGAAACCATTGCCTAGGAGTGAAGCCATGAATCTGGCAAGATGGCGGGTGCGGTGGCCATCTTACTAGGGGCATGACAAAGTCTAGGAGGTTATATTAAAAGTGGATAAAGTATCACCGTTCAGCGATTTAGAACGGAGCGTTTCTCTCACACGCTTAACGAGTGTAATGCGGAAACTTTTTCGTGTCTGATAGTGCTATAAGTGCATTTTAGTGTTACTAGATTTCCTTAGTGAGTCTCTACTTCGAGGCAAAGTTCTTGGGAAGTTCACTCACCCATATCCGCTTCTGTGTGTTATTTCGTCGGAACAACTATCCTTCAATATAGAACTAATGTAGAATTTAGACTACCATATCAAAGCCACTTGATCTCCAAGTAGGCATTATCAGGAAAGAGGATGTTTCCGCCATCTTGGTGGTGGCAAAAGGTGGCTTCACTTCCGCTGGCAAGGCATTGCGGGAGCTTCCACTCCAGCAATCTTTCTTTAATCCTCCTGGCACCAAATCAATGCCAAACAGAACCTTGCCAGACAGCTTGATGAAATGAGTAATGTCGAATACTACAACCGCTTCCCTTGAATAGTAGTGCATGAACCATAACACTTGTTAACCTATTGTCTTCGTTCCTTTTTTAAATTAAGGATTGATATAAAATAAAAGAAATAACGAGAAACGTAAATATATTCGTTTGGTTTCAGAAGATTTTTGTCGCTTAATTTCCGAGGAGGAAAAAACACCTAAATTCTGCGTGACAAACTTGAGCAACAAATGCGGGCTTCGCATTCGAGATAGGCATTCTGCTGAAGGATCTTTCGCACTTTTCCCGACCTCATTGTTTTACATGGTTGTGACGCACGGCCTCATCAAGAGTGAGACATACGGGACAGCTTAAGGCTCTCCCATAGCTATAGGGTACCATGTGCTCTAAATTGTTAACAGCGTAAGGATAAGAAAATACACTTCAATGGACGCTTAACTTCAAACCAATTTTCGCGAGCTCACCTGCCCGTGTTTTCCTTGAACTGTGACGTTGGAAGGCTGCCCAATGAAATGAACTGAAAGCT